AGGCTAAGACCATTGAACAAAGAAGGGCTAAATGTATGAAAATCTCCCAAGACCAGCTGCTTGGAGAGGGCAGTTACATGCTTATATACAAAGGCAATCTCTATATGATAACCATGTTCTTGATTTATGCCTCACAGAGGCTTTGAATGCTTGAGACAGAATTAGGGAAGTAAGAAAGAAAACCGAGTCATTTGCTAAGGTTATACAGGGCTCAAACAAACCTTCACAGATTTCATACAAAGACTGACTTTAGCAGTAATTGAATGATACCAGATTCAGAAACTAGACAAATGATAATTGAATCTCTAGCTTATAAAAATACTAATTCTCAATGTAAAAGGATACTTAGGCATTTAAAGGTAATATCTGTACACTTGGAAGAGTGGATCTGAGACACAATCAATATTGAATCTCATGACCATACTATTCATGGATAGGAAAGGTGATTTCCAGAGGCAAGAAAAATCAAAATGTCAAGTGTTTCAATTGTGGCAACCACAGTTACCTAAAAAGGGATTCTAAACAGGGTGCTCCTAAAAACAGTTTCTTTCCTAAGTATAAATCAAGCAGAATGCCTCTTTCCTCTGGATTATGAAGAAGGTTTAGCAAAGGCAGGCATTGAACTAATGCCTGAAGGTCAACAAATGACAGTCAAGGTAATACTTTGCTGTTGAGAAACACTTTCAGGGGCTACTTACAGGCCCCAATGCAAAATTCAGTACAGTCATTTCTTAGAACTTTGGAGGAAAGTTCTTCCCAGAGCAATTAAAGAAACTAATGCCTATAAGAAACCATTGAATCTCATGACCATACTATTCGTGGATAGGAAAGGTAATTTCCAGAGGCAAGAAAAATCAAAATGTCAAGTGTTTCAATTGTGGCAAACACAGTTACCTAAAAAGGGATTGTGGATGATAAAATAGCTATAGAGGAGAAAACAAAAAACTTCAGGAAAAAAACATCATGAAAATATTTTGGCAAACTTCTATACGTGAACAAAGATCAAAATTAAAAACACAAATAAGTCATATTGTCACTGAAGGTCTTATAGACACAGCTTTGGATGTCACAAAAAATGCATCAGAAATTTGGTATCCAAATTGGACTCTTCAGGAGGTAAATCTTTAGCTTTTATGGATTGGAACTTTATCTTGGGTAAAACAGAGCATGGAACGGGTCAAATGTATTGGTCTGGAAGATCCGAGAGGAAAATTAAAACTAACATACCAGTGAACTTACAGGGATGTGATTTGATACAGTAAAATGGAATACTCAGATTAACATTCTTCCAATATCAGAAATAAACCATACATTAATTTATGTTAGAGGAGGAAGCCGCTTGTTAGTTCCTGGCCACCTGACTAGCTTAAACCAGAAATAATTACACAAAAACTGTATTCACTGCTTGACCTATTAGCTCTAGCTTCTTATTGGCAAACACACATTAATTTTACCCATCTCCAGTAATCTGTGTATCACCACATAGCAATGGCTTACCAGCAAAGTTTCAGCATGTCTTGGTGTGAGACCATGGTCTATATTCTGTCAATTATATTTTCAATAAATGCTGATTGGCCAGTTGCCAGGCAGGAAGTATAGGCGGCACAACCAGACAGGAAATAGAGGTGGGTCAATGAAAACAGGAGAATTCTGGGAAGGAGGAAGCCCATTCCTCGGCAGTCCTGCCCAACCAAAGGAGAAGCATGATGTCACTGCCCCACTGAATAAGGTACCAAGCCAAGTGGCTAGCACAGATAAGAATAATATAATATAATAATATAAGTTATAAGAGTTAATAAGAAGCCTGAGCTAATGGGCCAATCAGTTTATCATTAATATAGACCTCTGTGTGATTTCTTTGGGGCTAAACGACTGTGGGACCTGATGGGAGGACAGAAACCAGGAAGGACAGAAAACTCTGACATCAGTTCAATGTTAACCTGCTATTTACCCCCAGATTCATTACCATCTCTTTGGAATACATTCCCCTAGTACGAGTCCTCCCTAACAATGTCATCTTGGCCTAGACTGCACCTATCCCAGACGGAAATCATCTTAGAGGAGGGTGGAAGGCATAAATACTGACGTGACCATCCCTTTGAAAAAGTTTAAGGAAAGCACTGCACTGATTGTTTACATCCTCACACTCACCCGTATCTTTAAAGAATTGTCATCTGTTGAATGGAAAAATTATTTGCCCATTACTTCTTGCTTTTCCTTACCTTTGTCAAAACATAAACCTATCTTCACACAGACACAAGATAGGAGAGGCTTTTACAAAGACAATCTTGGACTAGTGGAGATTCAGGCTAGAAACCAACATTTAGTTCATCACTGTGGGTGCCATAGCAACATGTTAACCCACGATAACATTTATATCTAAGTGCGGGAAAAGATCAGCTGTGTAGAAAAGCAACTGCCCCAATTCATCTTTGCAGGAGTCAGACACGTGACCACATGGACAGACAAAAATTCAAGTAGGAATGATGCTGTTATCCACTAGAGGAGTAATACACATGCAGTTTTATAAATAAATATATGAGAATTTAAAAGTTAAAATAAAAAATAGGTAATACATTCATTAAATGGTCAAATTACATGAAGACTTTTTAAAATATAGAAAGTACAAATGACTAAAGGAATACATTAGAAAAACAGTCAATACCACTAGCCATCAGGAAATACAAATCACAACTTCCTTGAAATTCTACCTCACTCCCCTCATCAAGAAAAACAACAAAAACAAGTGCTGGTGAGGATCCAAGGGGAAAGGAAACCTTTACACACTATTAATGGGAATGAAAATTTGCACAGTCTGTATGGATATTAACTTGTAGAATATTTTTAAAAAATCTAAAATTAGAACCAACACATACAACAAAGAACCAGCCTGCCTGTCTGTCAGTGGACAGATGCATGAATAAGATATGGTGCATATGAGAAAGAATGAATGATGTCATTGCCAGAAAACAGATGAAATTTGGAGATCATCTTGATAAGTGAAGTAAGTAGAATACCAAAGACACAGGCTATGTTTCTCTCATATAAGGAGGGGTGGGGACACAAAAGAAGCAATAGGACAATTTGGGAAGAGAAGGAGAATCAGGAGGAGGCCACAGGGGACATCAGAGAGGGTGACAGTGAGTGAATTTGATCAAACTGTGTTACATGCATTCACCACAACGTCATGATCAAATGCACTGTTTTGTAAAATCAGTGCAAGCTAATGCAAATCAATCAATTTCTGTATGTCATAAGACAAAAATGGAAGCTTTAAATTAAAACACATATAGTTCATCCAAGCAATGGCGGCACACACCTTTAATCCTAGCACTAGGGAGGCAAAGGCAGATGGTTCTCTGGGAGTTCAAGGCCAGCCTGATATACAGTGAGTTCCAGAACAGCCAGGACTACACAGAAAAATCCTGTCTCAGAAAACAAAAAAAAAAAAAAAGCAAGCAAGCAAACATAGGGTACAATAAAAGAAACTCTCCAAGGATAAATCTAGTAAAAGAAGGACTAGTCTCCTGCAAAGGAAAGTACCAATGTCTCATGAAAAGAAATCTTCAGGTACCCAGAAAACTATGTACAGCCTTTGTGTTTAAAACAGAAACAACTATAGCAGCATTGTTTTTGAATAGTCCCAAACTGTAAACAACCTGGTTTCTCATAATAAAATTCCAATCAGTGAGCAGTGTCAAACTCATGTAATGGAATATTATACAAACATAAGAATGAACAAACTGAGGTCAGTACAGGGAGGGTTGTCACAGTCATCCTATGATCAAGGACACAGACTGTTTTGATTCACAAAGACGTTCAAAGTGATGCTAAGGTTGGAAGACTGACCCTCAAAGACAGTGAGAACCAGCTTTTGAGGATGAGTGACATGAAATGGTTTGTAAGGACCAAAGTTAGTTTCCATTTCTTTAATAATGCTATAGCTCTGTTCACCTTTTATTCTCTCAAATGGGAAATTAATTATCTATATATTTTTAGTAAATAGTAGACTAGAGTGAGGGAGATAGAGTAAGAAAGAGAGAGATACACATCATATTCCCCATAGATAAATTTGGTAATAAATTAGGTGCCTGTCAAGTAATCATAATTCTGTCACTAAATGGAAAGAAATAGGTACAGTAGAGAAGACAATGAAGGAAAAAGACCAGACATATAGGGATGGGAATAAAAGTAAAGAGAACAAAGCAAACATAGGGAATCAGGAGATCACCAACCTAAGGTCACTGCCCCTGCTGACAGCAAGGTGTGCACTGGAGTCACCATCTCACCCTCCTTTTCTGGATCTAAGGATTTCCCCATAAGCTTCTAAGTGGAGAATGATGGCCATCCACGGCTCAACTGGTGCCTTCTTATTCCTAATGTGCTGCTGCTTTTTATACCAACCACTGCTGGTTCTACACTGCCTTGTAAACACCATTACAGACACCCTTATCTCAAACCACGTTTAATGAGCCCCAGATACACAGGGATGGGAATTTATACAAAGATTGACACACACCTAGGACAGTTTGGAATTGGGCTTTGTGGGCAAACAGAGAGGGAACTAGGTGTTTTGTCCATCATAGTGAATACAGCTCACTCATGCCCAGGGACATTTATAAATCTAAGCACAGGTGGCAGAAGAAAGTTGTAAGAACAAAGGAATCTTGACCTTCCCATAGAGCAGGAGCTACCAAAGACCAGATGACGACTAGAGCTGCAACAAAGCTGATGGGATGAGCGTCCGAGTTATTGGAAAGAGTTCAAGTGAGCTATCCCCAAAAAAGAAAAGGATGCTTCCAAATGATTCAGAGCATGAGGTGAGAATTTCCTTCTTCAGGAACACAAATTAAATATGGAAATGGTGAACAAAGAGGAAGAGTCTTTCTAATTGGCTCAAACCTTGGAGACCCATGGTATAAAAGTCTGTGACTAGAAAATCTTTCTACACAGTTGAAAACTTACCCGTGAACAGAGTAAAACCCTCCACACCTGCTACCATGGCCCTCTGTTGCTGCCCACCTTGCTGTGAGCCATGCTGCTGCAAGACCACCTGCTGCAAGACCACCTGCTGCCAGCCTTGCTGCTGTGAATACAGCTGCCCTGAGTCCCTCTGCTGCCAGCCTTGCTGTCTCCCATGTTGCTGCAGCATACTCTGCTGCAAGACCTGCTGCTGCGAGCCCTGCTGCTGTGTGCCCAGCTGCTGCCAGCCCTGCTGCTGTGTGCCTGCCTGCTGCCAGCCCTGCTGCTGTGTGCCTGCCTGCTGCCAGCCCTGCTGCTGTGTGCCTGCCTGCTGCCAGCCCTGCTGCTGTGTGCCTGTCTGCTGCGAGCCCTGCTGCTGTGTGCCTGCCTGCTGCCAGCCCTGCTGCTTAAAGCTTTGCTTGTGTGTGCCCACCTGCTGTGAAAGCACCTGCTGCAAGACCACCTGTTGCAAGCCAACCTGTGTGACCATCTGCTGCGTGCCCACCTGCTGCCAACCCTGCTGCTGCCAGCCCTGCTCCTGCCAACCCTGCTGCTGCGTGCCCACCTGCTGCCAGCCCTGCTGCTGTGTGCCCAGCTGCTGCAAGGACACCTGTTGCAAACCAACCTGTGTGACCATCAGCTGCAGCACACCTTGCTGCCAACCCTGCTGCTGCTGACCAGCTCCCCTAAAGAATGTCTGCACAGCCATGCTCTGGGGAGAGTTGACTGCCCCTGGATTCAACAAAGTCACACCTTAACCTTTGCTGACCCCCTTCATGTTCTCACCAGGAAACCTGGCGAATGTAAAATCTAACTTAAGTGTGGAAAAATGCTGTGAGAAAGGATGGTGTCCCTCACACCTCTCTCCTCATCTCCAGAGATTATGCATCTTGTGACATCTTCATGGGGGCTATGTGGAAAGTCAGGTATCAGTTTAAATTCTGAGCTAAGATTTTTATATGTCTCACCTAATAACTTAAAAAAAACCTACCCCAAAAAATAAAACTTGTATTTCTTCTCAACTGTACTGAGTTAACCCCAGATTTTTATGTGTTATCTCCTTCTTTCTTCTCACTTATGAAATTTGTCTATGAAAGTAAGCAATTTTTTAATAAACTCTGTGCTTTCATCATTCCATAGCGTCTATCATCTTATTTTGATGAATCACTTAATGAAAAAATCCACAAAATCAATAGACTTCTAAATGTTTAACATGGTCCCCTGAATCAGTGACACTAGCCATAGTGTTGAACAGTAGATCCATGGAAGATTTCTATCTGGAACAACTGAAATTTAATACCCAATGATGACCATCTTCCTGGTTCCTCCAATCTCAGCTCCTACAAACCAAGGGACTGTTCTCTCCTTTGCTGGCTGACTTTTATGAACATTATTTGTGTGAAACTGTATATAGCAATGGACTTTTTGTCTTAATTTCTTTATCCAGTTGCTTCTCAAAGAGCATCTAAGATTCAGCTACATCTTCTCAATTGTTCATTGGAAGGGCACAAACTTGCAAGTGTCACTATCACTTTAGGATTCTGATTTCAACCACTTCATTTTCTAGAGAACAGCTGCATATGAGATTATATGTTTAATGAATAAATCACACTCAAAAAATTATCAATCACATGATCTCATTTGTAAGCCCAAGATTTTACACAGAACTTCAAATCCTGTATATGGTCTGCGAGAAAGTGGGCAAGTAGTCCGGGTAGGGTCTATGAAATATTATCAAAGAACACGAGTCCATGACACACTTAAACCAGTTTATGCATTTCCTCCTACATTCAATAAATTTGTATCATTAAAAATAAAAATTTTAATTGAAAGGACATTCTGATTTCAATTAACTTGAACAAATATCCTAAGATATGGCTACTGAGTCAAAAAGATCCTTTATTTTTATTTTTTTAGGAGCCTTTGTAAATTTCTATACACCTGTTGTTCTTCTTTATGTTCCTCCTGCTGTGCAAGATTCCCAAGATTCCCAATAGCATGGTGGTTAAGAACACAAACTGCTCTTGAGTACCAACCTTGCTTCATTTCCCAGCATCTACATAGCAGCTCACAACCACCCGCAATTCTGATTCCAAGGTACCCAGTGCCCTCCTGCCCTCCTCTGACATCCCTGAGCTGAACATGTGCTGTAAATACATACATGCCGGCAAAACACTCATATACAAAAATATAATAAATAAATCATTTTAAATTTATGAAACACTGAAGAGTCCCAATGTCTCCCCGTGTGTGTCAATACCTTTTGATCTCTACTTTATCTGATACTAGATAGACAGCATTCTAATACTGCCAAAGTTATACAAATAACACTCCAGTGTTTGACGATATCTCATGCCATCAGGGAATAATAATGCACACAACAAAGGAACAGTGTCCCTCTGCTGTACTGCCCTGGAAAAGGCTCTGTGTAAGTGTGAGCCCCTGAGCTCTAAAGTTCCATGCTTCATCAAGCAGTTATCTGTAGAGAAATGGCATTCCTTCCCATCACAGCACCAGTGCCTGCTCTCCTAATGTCTGAGCTACTCCTTTCCACAAGTTCCCTTTACACAAAATGGCTCTGAAGCTACTTGAGCTAGTCTCTTTTTAAAACAAACAGACAAACAAAAAGAATGACTGTCCTGGAGCTCTCTCTGTAAGCCACCCTGGCCTTGAACTCACAGACGTTTGCCTCCTCTGCCTCCCAAGTACAGGGATTAAAGGTGTGCTGATGCACAGCTGGGTACTTGTGCTACTTAGAAGTTGTACCTCTAAAAGGAATCTGAAGTCGTGATTTCTGTTTTGGGATCCTGGATGTGCTGTTTTCATGTGAGATTTCTGACTTAGTGAAATTTTTACTACCATTTAAAACAGCCCCAACCCCTGAAAATGTCTTATCCGGGAACCAGGAATTCAGGTTTCATGCATGACACTTCTCTAGGCAGCCATGAAGTATTCCAGAACCTTGGCTCTTAGGAAACAGAGGACAGCAAGAAACTGATAAGAATGGTTCCTGCTCTACAAGACACTCTGCGAAACTGAAGTTCATCCCAAGTTCATTACATCCCATTCTGCACCTCCCTAGTGGATTCCTGCCTGACAGTGTCACTACCAGCCAGCCAGCTTTCAACTCAGACTCAAGCTATGTCATAGGAGAGTTAAAGGAACAGGAAGTCCACCAGTCCTGGATCCCCACTCAGAATAATTCAAGGAAGATGTTCTTATTCATTATCTAAAATACTCCTATGTCTCCCTTGACTTACTGGAGATCCTCTCATCCTTTATTTATATAAAATGATGCTTGACCTGTCACTTCTCTCTTCCTGTACTCCAGCCAAGTATGAAGGCCATGGCTTGTGGTATCCCAGGTTTTTCCATGATTCTCAGAGGGATTAGAAGACCTGATTTAATATCAGAGACTAGAAACCCTTTTATTTTATCCCTTTATGACATGTTTTAAAGCCAGACATGAGTTTATCTGCCGTACGTGTCAAAGATCTTTGAATGTATAAAATTTTCCCTATAAGTGTTATATGCACCATATGAGTGCAGTTCACAGAAGCCAGAAGGGACTTCCGATCACCTGGAACATGAGTTGCAGACAGTTGAGAGTCACCACATAAGTGCTGAGATCTGAACCTGGGGTCTCTGCAAGAGAGTGCTCTTAACAACTGAGCCATCTGCCCAGCTCCCAGACAACAATTCTTCATCAACTGAGAGCTTCGTCTATGATGTCATTGAGAGTCTGGATGTCTCAGCCAGTAGAGAAGCTACCAGGGAGCTTGCACACTTCCCCAGCTTCTCTTCAGTGAGTTTAGCTGACACATCCCTTTCTTTAACCTTAAAGTCTCTACAAGTGAAAAGAGACAAAAGGCAGAATGCTATCGCACAGAAGAGCTCAGAAGAAATATTAACATATGCGCAACATTAGTATGCTACTCTGAAGAGCAGACCCGTAACAGAAAACTTGTGCTGCATTTTTTCACTTTTTCAGAAATTTTATTAGTATTAATAATTTTTTATTTAATTAAACTTGTTCTCTGACATTTTAAACAATGTATAAAATTTATGATGATTACTCTCACCCTGTATTTCCCCTTATTTCACTGCCCCCTATGTCTACCTATCCCCTTTATACAAATCTTTTTTTCCATTCTTTTTTTTTCATAAATAAATAAACCCAAAGAGTTTATTCAGGAGTGTCCATGTGACTCCAAGTTTGGTGTTATCCACTCGAGCCCGATGGGCTCAGTGTTGAGCACATAAATGAAGACAATGACTCTTCCTCTTCCAGAATATTTCCATAGTCAAGAGTTCAGCAATAAAGCATTGGGTCTTCTGAGCCCCTCCCCCATCTATCATTGATTGTTGATAAGGCCAGTCTTGTGCAGGTTCAGTGAAAGTAACTACAGCTGCTGTGAGTTTACAAAATCAATGGCTGCCTTGAGACTTAAAGGATTTTAAGCCTTACATTTTACAGCCTTTCTTCCTACTCTCTTACTCTTACTGGTTGGGAGCCACTTTTGGGGGAGGGGGGTGACTTCTTCCACTATCCTAATCACGGTGGGTTCACACTTTCCAGGGTAAGGATGTGAGGATTAGAAAAGTTAGGTAGGAGGAACAGAGATAAGAAAGAATCACCAAGACACAGGATGGTAATGGGAGGGAAACTCGGTAAAAGCTAAATGCTGAATTCTTCGTTCTGACTTCTGAGTTGAGTTCACCCATGTTGAATTTTCCATACACTTTTATAGCCAAACACCATACAGGAAAGAAGGCAAAAGACTGCTTTAACATGATACAAAATCAACAAAACTGTTACTTGCCCTAATACTTGAGACATCAAGTTGTTATTTCTTAAGAAAAGCTTTCTGTTGTTTAGGCAGTTAACTCTCCCTAGACCAAGCATCCTGAAGGTAGCTGCTTTCTAGGTCAAACCTCCTATTTCGAAAGAAGTACGCTTGAATTCTCTGACCATTGGTCAAGGTGGAGTGGATCTCCCTCTATGGGCATCTTAATGTCCAAAATACCAAGTAACCACACCCTAAGTCAGGGTTCGTAGCCACAGTTTTGTCACCAACTTTAAGCTCACGTTTTTGGGCTTCCACACTTACAAGGTACTTTCTGCTCTTCATTTTCAATGTTCTCCAAGCCTTACATGGATTGGTATAAAAGTCTTCCTTAGTGCTGGGCCCTCAATTGTTATGTATTTTCAATACCTTGGCCAGCCAAGTATGGTGATATCTTATTTGTACAAATAAAGGTTGCCTGAAGATTAGAATTTGGGACTAGCCACTAGCTAAGCATAGAGTTAAAGAATTATGTGCAGACAGACAGGAAGTGATTTGGCTGGGCAGAGAGAGGAAGTGATAAGGCAGGATGAAACATGAGCTCAGTCTCTTTCGACTCGGAAGTTGAGAAGCAAGGTGGCTGGTGGGTTTTCTCCTTCATCTCTCTCATCTCTCAGCATTTCCTCTAATGTCTGACCCCAGGATTTTATTATTAAGACCTACTAGAAATAGTGCTACATATAGGTGCCCAATATGGGAAGACATTCACGAAAAAGCCATTTGCCTGTGGCTCTTGATCCACTGGCCCAGGTTGGAGCTATATGGGGGTTCCCTCCAGAGCTGCATGTGGGGCTACTGCCCCATCCAGCTATGCTTTCTTCTCTTTTTAC